ATCATATCTATTCTATTACTCCTATTAAATATCCTATAATAAATATAAAGTCATTCATCAATAGGGGCACTTTTAAGAAAAGATAATGATTATATCTTAAAAGATTAAAATACTTTATATTTTTTTTAACATCTAACTCCTTAAAATATATCTTATATGTTTTAACAGAGAAATATTTAATAAAAATTTTTGTTGATAATTAATTTAATTATAAATCAACTATAATTTTAACCTCCAAGACAGTAACTTTTGAAGCTTGAATTATACCATAATCAATTAAATAACCATTCCAATATTTAGCACCTTAAATAGTTCTGATAGTGAGACTGAAATCGCGAGAATCTATGAAGGTTGGGCCAGAAATAGGTGGAACGCAGAGGCATGCCCCCAGAAATTGAAATTAATTAAATCATTAATAATGGTTAGTGTGAGCGAGTAAGTTATAGGATCATGCGCAACCCAACCGCACGCGCACTCTCTGCCTGCAATCCCCACCATCCTCATCTCATCTATCATTCCAGTTCCTTCCCACCTTCTCTTCCTTCTCCTTCTCGGATCTCCCATCCCTTTCTCTCATGTCTCACCCTTCTCTTCCTTCTCCTTCTCGGATCTCCCATCCCTTTTCTCATGTCTCACCCTTATTTATTCTCATTCTTCTTTCGGACCCGCGTGTTCTCTCACACACATTCATCGAACACTTGAATGCTCGTTAATCACCCCCTCAGTTTTTAGCCATTACTCTCCTATATCCCTACCTTAGCTTACACGACAGTCCATTTTCGTTTCGAGCACTGGTGTCAGATTGCTGCATCCTTACTTTCGGTGAGTCTCTACCCTATTCTGTAGCAAACAATTATGGCTGAGAAGCCCTAGGACCAGAACCCAGGTATTATTTATGTTCACCTGAATTTTTTTTTTTGTTTGAACTATCTACTCCTTCTATAAGTTGGACATTCCTATCTTATGTTCTAGAACTGTTCGTCTGTGAGTACAGGCATAATTTAACTATTTAAGCACCCAAGTGCTTAGAATTCTGGGTATTATAATACAATACGACGCTGAAAGCTTTTGCTGGGTCGACTTCCCATTTCCCACTGACGGATGTGGGAAGACCTCCATAAATGCATTAATTAAAACTGACAGAATAAGACAAAAACTATTCATCATGAATCTAGGTAGCTAGCTAACCTATGAGACTTTTATGAATGAAGTTCCATCTCTGATTCATGTCAGCCTCTTCATCATCTTTTTGTAGGCTGTGCTGAATTAAATTAGTATTATAGTGTGCAGCAGCCTTAACTTCATTATTCTTAAAACTGGAGAACGTGTAATCATGAGCACGCAGGGCACACTTATGCTCGCTTGCTGCTACTTGAGAGTTGAGACTTAGGACCAAGTAACAAGACAAACATGCTGCTCGCTCGAGCTTCGTGTTGGCAAATAACAACTAGCGAGAAATTTTCAAATTGAAAATTTGCTTTGAATCTGATTATTAGATATGACCCTCAACACCCTTTCAATCTCAAACATGTTACTGATCATGCCAGGATGTTATTGTAAAGGAATTGGGCAGTTAGTTCGAATTTTTGTTTACAACCCATTTCTTGACTGTTAATGTTCAGGGGGTGGAATAAAAAATACCAAAGTTTTGATCAACTTCACGATACCGAATGAAAGTGGTGGATGTTAAAACGAGGTCATAATCTATTATTAATTAATTTGTAATGGTTTTCAATTGATAATTCAATTTTTTTATTAAAAAATAAAATTTGCCTGCTTGTTATTTACTCTCCAACATTCCTTAATCCACCCTGAGGGAGTGGAAGAAAAACAAAACAATACTGGTGGTGTTAGACTTTGATCTTTGTTTCAAATGAAAGAAATGATTTTGGTATTGAAGGGTGTGAGAGAATGAGGATGGATGAGCTGGATGAGACAGGCATGAAGGGGGGGTCCATTCTAAGTGTGCCATGTTAACTTATGCCATCTTAACTTTAAATATCTCAATTCATATATAATTAAACATAATAGGATAAAGTAATATGTATGCGTATTAAAAAATTCATGAGCGTTTAAAAAATCTCGATTATCTCGAGTGTAGACAGGTACACAATTCACAGGTCTCTAGAGCTTTCAGAGAGTTCAAAGATAATAGAGTAGAAGAAAAATGAGTCTTGTATTTGCGGTTATCGACTAATCATCTTAATAGACTAGATCGGTAACCGCCTTATTAAATAATAAATAATTATATATTTTATTATCTCTGACTCAGTCAGTTAAGAGATAAAAAATAACTGACGCTATTAGGTTGTGAGTTGGGCCTCTACTCATTGAATTCACTTGTATGACCCTCCCATCACAATTTACATAAGATCATAAAGATTAATATATTTAAATTTATTAATTAATATTAATTTATAAATAATAAATATTCCAACATGTCACCCTATTTTATTGAGTTTCCTATGCTCTGAACAATTGACCACTAAAAACTAAAGCATAAAACTATTCATCAGACTTCAGAGAGGGAAACTAAAGAACCAGCAAGAGAAAGGAACATTGGCTCCTTTTTTTAATATGCAGGGACCCCATTCATTACACACAGTCCCGCACAGACATTAATATTGGATACAGAGCAATGTTCTGTTCTCTCGAGTCTTCAATGACCACTATTGTTTACAGCTTGGTTCCCACGCTTCTGCCTTTGTTCCTAATTAATGCCTACTTGTCTGCCTCCCAGGAATTCCTGATGCGTGACACTTTGCATAGGCTCTATTTCTCTTCTAAAATGTGTTATCATATACCTTTATTTTTGTGACCAGAGAATAATCAAATTGTGATATTTACTTGTGTTTATGATTATAAGGTATGGTCAATATTCTTTTTCTATTCTGTACTAGTTTTAACACATACATTTAATATGTAACAGTTCTCTAATTGCAAGTACACGTTAAGATTTTGACAAGTCAATATTTATCGTCACATATCATATTTGCATGTTACTCATATACGGGATATTTTAGACATTTCAGCTTGAAGCATATTTTCATTTTAGTCCAGTGAGTCTCCAGAAAATTAAAAAAAAAAATTAGATTCAAAATGACATTGCCTCGCTTCTGGGCCCCTCAATGGCATTTTCTTTATGATTCTTATTATGGGAATGATCAATATTCTTTGTCTATTCTGCACTAGTTTTATGTTAGAAAACCCAAAATCTATGTTGTAAAGGTGGAAAAGTTTATGCTTCGTAGCATAGATCATTGAGAAACCTCGGAAAACAGCAAAATACTCAAATCATGGAAAGTGACAATGAGGAAGAGAAGGCTGAGAGTGATGCAAAGTCATGATACTTTTTACCTTGAATGATTGTTTATTTTATCAGATCATTCTTTGTGGCGCAACTTATGACCTTTTTATTTAATTTTATGTTTCAACAATGGCAATGCGAAATGAGGTTGCTGTGCCTGTAATAGTGCATGTTTTGGATTGTAAGATGGCTTAATATCAAGTCATGGGATATTATATTGAGAATTCTCATATTTTTTCCCTATAATGTCTTACAGTTCTTTCAAGTCAATCCAATTCAGGTCAATCCAATGCTTCTAGACATTATATATATTTGAGTATATATCCGCTGATGTATCTAAATGAAACAGGTATGTGCTTCACAAGTTATGAAGGTAAGGTTGATTCTACGGTCAACTATTCTGTTCAGTTCATTCAAAAGGTAACATTAAATAGTTAGTGGTGTTGGCATGAAATCCAAGCCTTTGTGACTGAGATTTTAACTCATTTTAAAAAGATGGATTTTTTTTTTCTTTTTTTTGTGGATTATGTACGAAACACAACAAAATTACGCTATTTATGCTTGATCTTGAAAAAAAAAATCTAATAAGAATGTATATAATCATATGCTTATGTGGTAATTAATCTATTCCTGAATGTTGATATCATAATCAGGAGTCTACAATTTGCAGCCGTTATTCCTAAAAAGTGATTTGACTTACTCTCCCTGGTCTCTTATATGAGAAAACTATTAAATTATAATTATACCTTTATTAATCAAAGAAAACTTCTTCTCTTGCTCAAATTTTGAAGAAAAAGTATTAACATTATAGGAATAAAAATATAACATCATTTATATTCTAACTAGACAGGATCACTTTCATTTTCAGAAAACATCTTATAAAATAGATCGATAGAATAATTATCTGGGAAATAGCACAAGGAGACAGAGTTTCTTTGTTATTATTATTTTGGTTTATAGACTGAAAGAGCCTTCATCATTGAACAAAACCAAACAAGACAGAGTTTTGTATAGGATTGTTTTAATCTGCAGACAACCTGAATGTTTGTTATTAAATTATTGTCCATAAAATACTGTAAGCCAATCACATATATATAGTATAAGCAGGAGGTCAAACCTTCTACAAGGCTTAACATGATTAAAGATAATGAGTTTATAACAACAATGATATAACTTTCGCTACCTGTTTAGAGAGAAACATGAAAAATCCAAATTCTTTAGATGGAGAGAATTTGGAGTGATCTTGGTTTGTCAGCATCCAAAATCCAAATCCAGAAGAGTGTTTTGGTGTGGTGTGATTGTACACGTTGGGTTGTAAAAGGCTAATTTTGTATCCACATGCAATGTAATGCAATACATGCTTTCACACACAATTCATGTGCCATAGAAAGTTTCCTACATGATTTTCTCATCCTTTTTAAAATACACATCCAAAATGCGAGTGAGAGAGAGAGAGAGAGACATATCATGTTGGGGAACAACATTCAGAATTTTTCGGATCAAAAATATAATCATAGACCCCTCCCAAAAAAAAAAAAAACTATAGCTACCAAAAATTTCTCTGCTACTTTCCTTTCTTCTGCTACTCTCCTTTCTTTTTTTTTCATTTCTTTCTCCTGGTTTCTTCGCTGAGTTTATATCTCTTCCCCTCTGATCCTCCCTCCCAAGCAATATTCAATTTCCATATATATATATATATATATATATATATTCCAATTAGATAGAGAGAGAGAGAGAAATGGAACATAAAATTTGAATTGAAGTAGCTGGATATAGCTGGAAGACCTACTCCTTCAAGAACCTCTTCACAATCTTCACGCTTGGCTCTGCCACCTGTCTCTCCCAAATATCCGACCATTTCTTGCCGCCGTTGTCGGAGCATCTCAACGGCGTCATCGCCGCCTGGAACGCCTCTGTGGCGTCCAGCCTCTGTAGGTCCCACCCGGCACCTTTAAGCCGCATGATCTTCCCTATTTGCCTTTTCGCTAGCCGACGAGTTTCTCCTTTATCGCCATCACTGCCTCTTCGTATGCGGCCTGCCGCATCCGATCCTCATCTCCCTTGACCCGCCTCAGCCCACCCGGTGGTGGGTATCGCTTGAAATACTGATCGAATTCAGGTACTCCAATGGCTTTCCTCAACCCAAATCTGTGCTCTGAGTCGTCTTCTAAGTCGCTCGCTTCCGGGTCGAAGAAGTGAGCGAGCTCATCCACCATTCCCAAGTCAAGCATGTCGTCAACTCGCTTCATCAAGTAATCCGATAACACAGGAAAAGACACGTCCACCCAGAGGATGCAACAGTTGTACCTTAACTCGGACGAGATCGAGCTCGGTGACGACGTACCATCATCGAACACATTTAACGCCGGGTCAAACTGTTCCACCAGAAGAGCATGAATCAACGAGTTGGACCCACCGACGACGATGGGAAGCTTCCTCCTCGAGCTGATATCGGAAACAATGGACCCGGCGACTGAGCGAAAATCCGACGGCAAGAACTCTCCGTTCGCAGGGTCAACATCTCCGAGCAGGTGGTGCGGGACGCCGTTTCGTTCACCCAAAGGAATCTTGTTGGTGGTGATGTCGAGTCCCCTGTAAACTTGCATTTTGTCTGCGTTGATAACTTCCGAGCAGGCGCAGCGGGTGGCGAGGTCGATGGACAGGCGAGACTTCCCGCTGCCAGTAGCACCCATTATGAGAACCACCTTATCTTTCCTGCGGTGGCGGTGGTAGGCAGAGTCAGCGTCCATCGTGGCCAGCGAGGCCTGCGGGAAGAAGAAGAGGACGTGGCAGGGAAGAGGGCAAGCGAAGAACCCTGAAAGTTATTAGGAACAGAGCAATGGTGAGACTGAGGTATAGAGAAGAACGGAAGCCTCATGGCAAGAAATGGAAAAATCTCGATGGTAAGGTACCGGCTGAGATATATATGAAGGTATTGATGAATTGAAAATGGTGGAGCGAGCAACAAAAAAGGGACGGTAGCAAAGAGAAAGTTGAGAGAGAGAGAGAGAGAGAGGGAGAGAGGGAGAGGGAGAGAAGGAGGCAGAAAGTGTGTGTATGTGTGGGTGGGTTGGCGTGGGTACAGGTAGCGTGTAAGCAGAGCAGTGAGTGGGTTCGTTTATGGCATTCAGAAATTTGGGGGGGAGAGAGAGATGTATCGTCTGCTTGCTGGAAATGGCATTGCCTTTGCCAATCGATACCGAATTGGCTCTGGCAGAGATGATAGAGAGAGAAAGCGGTTTCGCTTCGTTTTCTTTCTCTCTGTCTCAGTGTCTCTGTCTCTCAATTTGTTTCTCTGCGTTTGCTGCTGTAAGCTGGGATTCAAGTTGTGGAAGCTTTTTTGCGCTCCTTTTTCTGCCTTTTTCCGTTGCAGAATTGAACTGCTTAGCTCACACCATAGTCCCTCTTCAGCTCTTCTCTCACCCTTTGGCTCTTGCTTTTTCCCATTCTGTTTTCTTCTCTCCATGAAATTTGATTGCTGAGACTATATCTGCGTGGAGGCACACAAACACATTACCCTCCTATTTAATATAAGTAACAACCCTTCACAGACAGGCATGTTTCTCTTATATTTAATCTCCCAATCTTTTTTTAAATAACAAGAACTTAACTCCCAATTAACAAGAGATTAGTACGATGACATACTAATTACTTTTTTTGTGCATTAAAGTAAGCTTATTGTTCATAATCATATAATATATCAGCACCTCAAACATACGTATATGTAACCAAAAAGGCACGGTCAGATAAATTCTAAATTAGCACTTCTCCCACACGGTCGAGTGTACTCTGTTTTTTTCTTTTTTCCTTACTTCCTTCGGTATTTTGGTCCATCAACTTAACCTTCCGTAGATAAAAGGCTAATTATGATTAAATATTACCAATATTCAATATAAATGTTTTGTCAATGTCCCCCTTTTTTAATTCATTCTTAAAAACCAAAGAGTATTATTCACTTCCTCTCCAAACCTTAGTTGTATTTGACTAATGTTACCAACGATAACTTTTAGTATATCTTTAAGACTCGAAGATGTGAACAGAAAAAAAGGATGTTTTTACCCGGATGCCAAAATCTGTGGCTTTTGAAGCGAGGAATGTGAAGGCCTGAATAGTGAAGTTTTGCTGTCTGATTCCAAAGCCGAATTGCTTTTGAATGGTTTCAAAGACTTGAATCTTTAGGTCGGCCAGCATTAGGAGAAAAGAAGCAGAACCAGAAGCAGGTAATGGAGATGGTCACCACATTACATGAGACAGATAGAGAGAAATCAAAGGGAGGTTGTGGGAAAATGAAACAACAGCACAACAGAAGCGTGGAAGGGTGTCCTGGTGAAGAGCAAGAGACGTGAAACACTATATGAGGCTGCCCCTAAATACGAGGGTAAGTATGGTCCACCCTCTCCTTCGGTCCCTTTAGTAGTCATATTTTCACTAGAGTCATCAACAAAAGCCAATAATCTACCTGCCTTGTATTTTTTAAGGTCAAACTTGAACAAATCAAGAAATTTTCGTATGTAAGAACTTTTAAAAATGCTAACAATGTATTTTTATCTTTGAAATAATATTTTCAATGAACACCTAGCATTCTAACTTTTTTTTTAAACAATTTTTTTAAAAATTATTAAAATGAAACATTTTATCTTTTTCATTAAATTTTTATCAGTCAACATTGAATTCATATTGAAAATTTGATAAAAAAAGTAAAAATGCTTCATTTTAACAACTTCAAGGGTAAAATTGCTCCAAAAAAAAAAAATAGAGTGTTAGGTGCTTCTCGAAAAATACTTTAAAGGTAAAAATGCACTTTGACCCTTTTAAAAACTACCCTTAGGTGCTTGGACTTGGGCTAGGCCTAAACTTTTACTACTCCGTTAAAAAAATATAAAGTATTTTTAATTTAATTACTTTCAATAAAGTAGTTATTTATTTTTTTAAACTAATTCTATTTTTTTATATTACCCCTATTTAATAAAGAAGTTTATCCTAAAAAAATATAAAGTAATGATTTTATTTTAAAAGACTCGAAATGCTTTACTTTTTTTAACATCCAACCTCTTAAAAAATGCTTTACATTTTTAAATGGAAGAAATATAATTTTTCTTGTAATGTTATTTACATAATTTATTTAAAATTATGAATTAATATATAAGAATAATGCAAATTATTAAATATTTATTCTAGTGGATACATATGAAGTGGTGTTGTTTGAAATAGCGCCATCTCCTCCAATAAATCTTCATAAAGAGGGTCTAATATTTTATTTTCAAATAAAGATTGATGATAATAATGATTAAATAATATTTATTTTAGATTTTAATTAAGACACTTTGTAATTATAAAGAAAACTAATTATGTGATTCTTATAGTTTGAATTCAATTATAACTTAATTTTAAATTTTGATTCGTTATAATTCAGTATTTAAAATTTTGACTTGATTGTAATTTAATTCTTAAACTTTTTCTCTTACAATTTAGTCCATATAATTTTTACCTTTTATATTAGTCTCTATATTTAAAAAATAAAAAAATAAAGATTAAAAATATGTTAAAATTTATTACTAATATTTTAAATTACTAAACCCTCTTAATCTTTATAAATATTAAAATTTTAAAAAATTAATCTTTATAATTTTATTTTTAAATATAGGAACCAATATTCAAGTTGTTAATACTATAAGGACTAAATTATAAAAGGCAAAGTGAAGAAATTAAGTTAAAATCAAGTTAAAATTATAAGGATTGAGTTACAACAAGTCAAAATTTAAAAATTGATTAGTTCAAAACTATAAGGACTAAATAATTAATTTTTCTAATTTATATATGTATAAGTATAATTAGAAATTATAATTAAAAATTTTGCAGCTTTTTGAGCCTAGCCCTAAGTCCTATCAATAAGAGTCAGGGCTTGAGAAAAGTGTTGATTTTAGAATAAAAGTGTTTATGAGCTTGAGCCCTTAAGGGTCAGGCTTATAAAGATCATATCTGTAAAGGTTGAATTAGCCTTTTTGGATAACTCCAATTTTCACAATGTTACCACACAAGCCTGAAGGGTTCAACCCTCCGGCTCAATCACTTGTCTCGTGTTTAATTGATAAAAAAATTGACTCATATAGTAAGTTTTATAAGGTAAAAATTTGATCCATAACATATATTATGATGCCTTGAATATGTCTATGGCTCATGTGGCTAGTGGCACTAATAGTTCTTCCCACTTTTGGGTATATAATGATCCATCCCCCATATCCCCCAAGCTTCGGGTGGAAATAAGTCAAGAGGCCCATCAAGAAACTACTACTTGACCTAGTTTGGATCTATCCTGCGAGCAACCAATTTAAATATATATACTCTCTGTGTTAAATTATAATACATTTTTCTAAATTATCGTGCTAAAAAATAAAAGATATTTTGTGTTCTTTCAAAGTGCAATTGATAATTTTTTTTTCCCAAAATGCCATTTATTAAAGATGTAATTAGTAAAGTTCTTTAATTGAAATACTCTATTAAATAAAGATAAATATAAAAAAATGTATAATTTTAAGTGTCATTAACTAACTTATTAGATTGTATATTAGTTAAAAATGTGTTGTAAAACTAAATAGAGGGAGTGTGTGTGTAATTTGATAGCTAAAATTAATAGTACTTATATATAAACATATTTTTCAAACTTTGATTGTCTTTTTAAATAAACTTTCAAGCTCAAGTTAAAAAAACGAAAAAAAAAAACTCTATGTATAGGATTCAAGGCAAGGTGAAGCCTTTGACCTAGCTCAAACCTATTTAATCAAAAATTTGATCTGACTTGTTTTCATCCATACCCTGCCCTCTTTGTATTTCTACTCGCTCTTATTATTATTATTATTATATTTTGGTCAGGTGTTTCTACTTTCTCATTATATTTAAAAATGTCGCGGATTTGAATCTTATTATTAATGCAAAAATTTGTTATAAACAATATGTGAGCATTTCTCGAAGCTTTCTTTTAAGACATGAAACTTACATAAACAATGATAAATTTCTAGAATGCAATTTATCTAAATTTTGGTTCCTCTTAAAAAAGTTATAAAAAAAAAAAAGAATCTTATCTTGCCGTGTGCCCATTGCCGCTCGAGTTCATCTTGGGTGTTCTTTAGGGTAATCAGATTTAAACCATTAAGATTTTATTTGAACAGTTAAGATTTAAAATATTATTTTATATTTTTATTTCATACTCATTAAAATAAAATTTATAAAAATTATAAAAAAAAATTTAATAAATATTTTTATCATCAACCTAGCCTCAATTTAATTTGTAGAGGTCCAATTTAATATTAAAATTTTTATATATTCACTATTAGATATACTATACACAGTTTAGATTTAAAACTTGCAACTTGTAATTTGTAAAAAAATATTTTTTAAAAAAGTGCCAGCTTTAGTTATTTTAATTTTAAATATTATATTTATTAAAATAAAAACTTATAAAAAATTAATATTAAATTTGGATTGTGTAGAGTACATTTAAATAATCAATATATTAAATTAAAAAAATTAATATTAAATTAGACTTTTAAAATTAAATCTAGATGAGGTTGAAGATAAAAAAAATTATTTATTTTTTAATATTTTTTTATTTTATAAATATGAAATAAAGTTATAAAATAATAACTATTCAAATTTTTAGTCTCAATGGTCTGCAAGATCACATCACCTTAACGAGCACTGTTTGAGTAATAAGCATCTAGGATGAATCCTTGTCACTAGGGAACATGCCACTCCATGAATTCATGTTCAAATTCATGAGTTCTATAATAAAAGAGTTTTCTTACAGTTGCCCTTCTCTGTATTTATATATGCTCACAGCCTTAGACTATGTCTTTGCCCTGTGTCCTATTTCCCCAACCTCTCCATGTTATCCTTCTTTTGGTTCTTCAACAATCCAACCTTTCTTTCCCTTTATTTCTAAATATCATATATTTTCTTCTCATCTCTCACTTTCTATCACATCAACATGTTTTTTTTTTTTTTCAATGAGTTCTGATATTTCATGTCTCTGACGTAAACTAAGTTGGTCGGTAATTTATTTATGCATGTCTCTTTCCAATAATTTAATTGATATTGCATATTTAAGACTTAAACTTAAAATTTTTGATTAAATTAGATTAATCCAATTTTTTTTAGAAAAAAGGAGATTAATCTCCTTATCAGTTAATCAAAATACTTAGTGATACATTAATATTTTTAAAAAAATATTATTCTGATCCTTTCAAATGAATTTGTTTTATGGGTTTTCCGTCAAAATTGGTTGCCATTCTCATTATGATTAACGACGTGAATAATTTTTTTCTGTACCCTGATGTCATGTTACCTAAAATTCTTTTGAAATTAGCTTCATATATATTGAATTAAAGTTTCCTTGAGGGGATGGATTGGGGAATTTATTTTTTAATCAAAGGCTGTTTCACAATGTGGATACACCGATCCTTTGAATTAATTAATTAAAATAGTCTGCCTCTTGCAGGGGATATTTAAATTTAAAGTAGAATAAAAAATACATATGAAATAAAAAAAAATATGCTCCCTCATTCAAAAAATATAAAACATTTTTAATTAAATTTCACCCTCTAATACAAAATAACTCTAACTTTTGACATTCACCCTTGTTTAATAGGCTATGTTTCACCTTAAAATAAATATAAAGTAAATTATTTAATAAGAACATTTTTGAGAATCTTAAAAGATTAAAAATATTTTACATTTTTTAACATCAAATTTTTAAAAAAACGACTTATATTTTTAAATGAAGGAAGTATGTGTAAATAGTGTTTGAGTATTGTTGATTGATGTACTCTTGAATAAAATATAATATACAGGTATATTGAAACTCTCAGGGTCTGTTTGGTTCGAGGGAAGGGAAGGAGAGGGGAGGGGAGGTGAGGGGAGAGGGGGGAAGGTGAGGGGAGAGGGGGAGGAGAAGGAAGG